GCCAGGCTGGTCTTGAACTTCTGACCTCAGGTGATCCACCCACCTTGGCCTCCCAAAGTGCTAGGATTACAGGCGTGAGCCACCGCGCCCGGCTGAAAGTCTTAAAGGCAGTGAAAATTTCTAATGAAATGGGAACAAATTATATAATTTATTTGACTTTACTTGCACTTCAAAAACATTGCATGTCACTAACTCTCTTTAAGTTCTGAAGGCAGTGTGGGAGATTTAACTATGGATAGAACACATTAAAAAAAAAAAGATACAATGCATCTTTGAAGGTTCCCAATTCCTGTCTAAAATTGTTTTGAAGGGAGTGCATTTTCTAAATCAAAATGGAAATCAATATGAAAAACATAACTTACTATACAATTACCTATTCTGAGGACTTTTCCAAGAACTCTTGTAACACATAAATAGAATCAAAGTATATTCAAACTGTAACAATAGGCCAAACTACTTATAAATAAGAAGCCATTTCTAAAGTGAAGTTTTATTTGAGAACAACAGCTTCAACATCTGAACATAAATACAAATATTATTTTACGTTACTTAATGGGATTGGGAACTATATTTAGATGGCTGGGATTTTTTGAGACCTTTTGGACATGAAATGTAATTATTTATGATTAGTATCCACTGATATATTATGCAAAACATGATTTCAAAGCTGAAACATTGTGTAACTTGTTTAACATTAAGGCAATAGAAAAACACTTTCTTTTTTTGAGACAGTCTCACTCTGTAGCCAAAGCTGGAGTGCAGTGGCATGATCTCAGCTCACTGCAACCTCTGCCTCCTGGTTCAAGCAGTTCTCCTGCCTCAGCCTCCCAAGTAGCTGAGATTATAGGCACATGTGACTAATTTTTGTATTTTTTAGTAGAGATGGGGTTTCACCATGTTAGCCAGGCTGGTCTCAAATTCCTGACCCCAAGTGATCCGCCTGCCTCGGCTGCCCAAAGTGTTGTGATTACAGGCATGACCACCACACCGAGCCTGCAATGGATAGGCAGTTTCTAAAAAGGAAACTTCAGTGTACGATGGCAGAGTTTTTAACTTTTCCAGACACTCAAGACATGCAAATGCATTGCAAAAGGCAGACACACAAAGCCATCAAGAGTAACGTGCCTGACCTCAGGAAAATGTGCAGTGTACATTCCACTGTCTTCTTCAGACAAATTTTGTAAATTCAGCACATGAAAAAAGACTTTACCATGAGTTAGTATTTTCAAAGGTGCCAGAGGTCCAGAACATTGCCATGCAAAATGATATTCATGTGTTCTAGGATTACAGTCCAGCTACATTCAAAACTTCGAACCTTTTAAAAAGCCCAGTCACTAAAGCTAAGTACGTTTTCATGTACAGTAAGATTAAAACCAAACAAATCCATATAATTGGTAGTGCAACCCTCTTATGACAGAAAGGATACTTAAGCTCAAATTATAATTTTAAAGTATTTCATCATATGCAAAGTGGTAAGCCACAAGTGCCTAAAAAAGAACTAGAGAACATTAAAAAGTCTAAACGAATAGGTAACACAGCCAGGTGCGGTGGCTCACACCTGTAATCCTAGCATTTAGGGAGGCTGAGCTGGGTGAATCACTTGAGCTCAGGAGTTCAAGACCAGCCTGGGCAACATAGTGAAACCCCATCTCTACAAAAAATACAAAAATTAGCCGAGTGTGGTGGCCTGCGCCTGTACTCCCAGCTACTTGGGAGGCTGAGGCAGGAGAATTGCTTGAGCCCAGGCAGTGGATATTGAAGTGAGTCAAGATCGTGCCACTGCACTCCAGCCAGGGTGACAGAATGAGATCGTGTCTCAAAAACAAACAAACAACAAAAAAACCATAAAACACAATTCACAGTGATTATCCTTGGGTAGAGAGAATAAAAGTAATTTAAAAGTAGTTTTCCTTCTTTTAGGTTTATATATTCTCATTTATTAGATTCAAATATGGGTAATACGTGAGATTAAAAAGGAGCAATTGACCAGGCATGGTGGTTCACACCTATAATCCCAGCATTTATCACCACCTGACATATCAGATATATATTGTTTATGTTTGTCTTCATCCTAAGACAATTTGTTTTGTTTATACCTGCATCTCAGGCATGCAGTAGGCACATACCATTTGTTATTGCTATTACTATAAGTACAATATAAAGAACAGAATGAACAAATCTGTACTGATTTGTGATTTGTTCTCCACAGAGCCATTTTGCTTTTATAATAACTTTCTAAAATATCACTTGCTCAAAGAATTCCAACTTCAAAAGGAACAGATATCTTTTGCTTTAAAAACTGTTGCTTTAAAAAATTTATATTTGAAGGTTTTCAAATACAAACTTTGTCCACATTCCAAATAATACAATTTTAAGTAAGTGTGACTTCTTAAAATATCTCTGCAACTTAAAGAAAAAAGCCAGTTGTATTGTCTAAATGACATAAACTGTGGCTGCTAGACTGACTATTAATTTACATCACAGACAAAAAACAGTAATTTTGGCATTGCTTATTTAAGCTAATTCCAAAAATGTATATTGTGCATTCCAAAAAAAATGAATGACCAATTCTGACATTAAGGATACTACAATAACTTGTCTTGCATTGATTTCACTCAAAATATACATTAATATGATTCCTTTCTGATCATTAAGCTGTTAGAATACAAATCATAACTTGTATAATTATTAGTTATACCAGCTAATATCCAAAGCAACAGCATTCTCGCATCGTGGGGCTGAAACACAAATTTTAATTCTCTGGTGTTAGCTCCGCACACAAAATCAGCATGCACAGGACAGTGAGAAACTAAACTGCAAGACATCGCCACCTGGCCCATTTAATGAAGTATGGCAAGTGATCAAGAAGGCTGAATGTGTAGAAGGAATAGCGAGTGATCTCTGTCACTGTCCACGCGACCAGAAAAAGCACCACACTCTCCTCATTCTGGATCTGCAGAATTACAGAGAAATCCACAGTGTTGTTCAACCTTGAACTTCTTTTTCAATGAAGGTACTTTCTTTACTTATGTATTGCCTTTTATTTAGAATGGAATGCTAGGGTTAGACAAATGCAATACAGAAAACTTAATGCAGTCACCATTAACGTAATTAATTGTGAATGTGGAACTTAAATATGTCCTGTGCACAGGAATAGTTGACTATTGACTGGTTTTTCTTCCCTCATCCTTCACTTCAGGCAATACCGCTATCACCTTAGGACAAAAGTTACCCTGATGAAACCTAAATGAGAACAATCTGACCTTCCTACTTCTAGTAATCATTGAATCACACCTGTTCTACTGTAAGACCAACGCTTGAATTGCTTACTCATGTTTACCCCTTTTACCAGTATTTTAATTTAGAGTTTTATCATCTCTCATGTGGACTACTGTAACTGTCTCCTAAATGGTCTTTCCTCTCTTTTTTCTTCACATGAATGCAAGTTTTCCTTTAAAAAATAAGTTAAGGAAGCAAATCAATAAAAAACAAATTGGAATCAGCTAAGTGCTGTGATTTAAAAGTTTCACCGGTCCCACACTACTTAGCAGAATAAAAGGAGGAGCCCTAATACCTGGGCACCATATTCAAAGCTCTTTACAATCTCTGCTTGGAAATCTCTCTAACTTCATCGACAATTACTCAACCCTCCTACCTACTTCTCTGTCTGGTAACACTAGATTTTGTTATTTCCAGATTGTGCTCTGAACGTGTGCAATTTTACACATGCTATTCCCTCTCATTAGAACGTTACTCTCTTATTCCATGACAAATCGTTTCTCATCTTTCAAGATTCAACTAAAACGTCTCACCCTCTAGAAAACTGTCCCCAACCCTCTTGTCTCACCCTGAGCAGTTATTTGTTCGCCACCCTTTTTTTTTTTTTTTTTTTTGGAGACAGAGTCTTGCTCTTCACCCAGGCTGCCATGCAGTGGCATGATCTTGGCTGACTGCAAACTTAACCTCCCAGGTCAAAAGATTCTCATGCCTCAGCCTCCCTAGTAGCTGGGATTACACACCTGGCTAATTTTTATATTTTTAGTAGAGACAGGGTTTCACCGTGTTGGCCAAGCTGGCCTCGAACTCCTGATCTCAAGTAATCCACCTGCCTTGACCTCCCAAAGTGGTGGGATTACAGGCATGAGCCACCATGCCCAGCCCACCACCCTCCCTCTATGGCACTTTGTTCATATCTGTATTGCGGCATTGGCCAATCTGTACTAAAAGCTGTCTGGCTCACTCTTTTACATGTCAGCACTCAACATCTATATCACTCCTTAAGGGGAGCCTTCTTCCACTCCCTATGTCAGACTAAGTCCCTAGGTATAGGGCAAAGCATATTAGGCTCTAGCTTCAAAACAATTAACACTTACATAATTAAATATTTGTTTAGCTTCCTTCCCAACTATAGGCTCCATCAGGTGAGAAGCATGTTTGTATTATCAACAGCCATATCCCAGCACACTGTCGGGCACAGACGAGGTACACAATTAGCCTCTGTGCATGATTCGATGTCAGGTGTCCCCCACTTCCAAACAGCCAGTACCCTTGACAGCTGGTATTGCCTTGTTCTTTTTCTTCTTTTTAAGACAGAGTCTTGCTCTGTCACCCAGGCTGGAGTGCAGTGATGTGATCTGGGCTCCTTGCAACCTCCACCTCCTGGGTTCAAGTGATTCTCCTGCCTCAGCCTCCCCAGTAGCTGGGACTATGGGTGCATACCACCACACCTGGCTAATTTTTATATTTTTAGTAGATACAGGGTTTCACCATGTTGACCAGGCTGGTCTCAAACTCCTGACCTCAAGTGATCTGGCTCAGCCTCCCAAAGTGCTGGGTTACAGGTGTGAGCCACTGTGCCCGGCCCACCTTATCTATTTCTTTAAATTTAGAAATTTGCACAGCACCAGGTGTACAGAATGCATTCAATAATATTTGTTGAATTAATTAAGGAGTGCTGAATAGGTACCAGTGGGAAACTATTGTCAGCAAAAAATAAATCGGAACATTGAGGCAGAGATCCTCTGGAGGATAAATGGGGCAGATGGGTCCTGTTTTCTCTTTGGAACTTGCCATTCTCAAGCCTCCCTTTACCTCCTTCTCTTTACTGTCAAGTTAAGGTTTCTTTCTTCTTCATTCTTCAGACTCGCTGTGGTCCTGAGGTCGTATTCCCTCACTGCCTGGAGGAGTTTCTCTTCTAGTCTGTTAATGCTGCCCTTCTGCTTTTAAACTAGTAGGCAAAGTTAATTAATAGTTTGCCTCTCCTGCGCTGCTGTCTGCACTATCTGCATGGCAGTCACTGGTTAGGGAACAGGTAAATCATGCAACTCGAGTGAAAGATACTAGTCAAGAGGCTCAAGTATAAAGGGCAGGAGGTCAGTGAGGTGTCCCCACACAGACAGGAGGCCGGTAAGGCATCTGAGAAATGGAAAGGAGGCCAGAGATCTGTCCTCAAGTAAACAGGGGGCTCTAAAGGCTGTCAAGAAGGTCAGAAGAATTGACATGGGAAATGTTTCTGTCATGAGCTTTTGTCTGTTTGTTTTTGTTTTTGAGACGGAGTCTCTCTGTAACCCAGGCTGGAGTGCAGTACTGCAATCTTGGCTCACTGCACCTTCCCCCTCCCAGGTTCAAGCGATTCTCCTGCCTCAGCCTCCCGAGTAGCTGAGACTACAGGCGCCCACCACCATGCCCAGCTAATTTTTGTATTTTTAGATAGAGACAGGGTTTCACCATGTTGGCCAGGCTGTTCTCAAACTCCTGACTTCAGGTGATCCACCCACACTGGCCTCCCAAAGTGCTGGGATTACAGGTGTGAGCCACTGTGCCTGGCTAAAAATAATAAATTTTATAATGACAACTTAAATTACATACCCAAAGAGGACAACTTGGATTGATACAAAAAAACTTCTATAGAAAATAACAGTTTCTGCCAGTTATTTGACAGATTCTGAATACTAATTTCAAAAACTGGAAAATATCAAAGGAGAATCTATTACAGATAGAAGATGCCAATATTTGGTTTTGCTTGTATTTGGAAGTCATTCTGCTGAAGCACAAAATCAAGGCACAATACTTAAAATTCAAACCCAACTCCTTTTTGTACAATGGTTACACTTCCTGAAATATATCAATGTCCATATTTTAGATTCCTGTTAATGGAAAGCTTTCCTCCAGGCTCAAGTAGACAACATGTTTGCATCACTTACTGGTTTTATACTGTGAGTAATGAGCCACACCATAAAGATTCTTGAACTCACTTGGACCCCAGTCACAAGCACAGAAGTAGGTACAATTCCTTAAAAAGAAAAACAAATCAACTATTGCCCTAAAGGCAATTTATAATAAAAGTATAAAATTAAAGCAAAAACTCACCAATTAAACAGTGAATTATCTGTAAGCAAATAAAAAAAATCATTATGTCAGTAATAGAAAACATTAAGCAAACCGCTATCAACATTGGTATTAAGCAAATCCATAGGTGGTATGTAACCAACAAAATCATGTTGAAATGCGCAACAAAAAAATGTTCACATAAATATTACAGTAATAGAAACACAGCATGATGGAAAACTTACCTCAAGCAAGGCAAATGTCTGGAAAAATTTAAGGGTCTTCTGAATACTTTTATATAAACCTCTGTGTGTTCCTTTTTCCATATAAAAGCGTACCATGGCAATAGCTAGAACCAACCACCTAGAAGAAACAAAAATATTTTATAAAGTTCTTTCAAACTAACACTGATTTATGTGTTTACAGCAGCATTATTCAAAATAGTGAAAAGGTGAAAGCAACCCAAGTGTCCATCAGTGACTGAATGGATACATGAAATGGGGTCTATACAGACAATGAAATATTAGCCTTAAAGGGGAAAGAAATTCTGGCCGGGCACCCTGGCTCACACCTGTAATCCCAGCACTTTGTGACGCTGCAGTGGAGGGATCACAAGGTCAGGAGTTTGAGACCAGCCTGACCAACACGGTGAAACTGCCTCTCTACTAAAAATAAAAAAATTAGCCTGGTGTGGTGATGCACATCTGTAATCCCAGCTACTCAGGAGGCTGAGGCAGGAGAATCACTTGAACCTGGGTGGTGGAGGCTGCAGTAAGCCGAGATCACACTATTGCACTCCAGCCTGGGTGACAGAGACTCCATCCCAAAAACAAAAAAAAAAAAAAGGAAAGAAATTCTGACATACCATGCAGCATGGATAAACCTTGAAGACCTTAGGCGATGTAAAATAAGCTAGGTAAAAAAGACTAATGCTGTATGATCTTTTCTTTCTTTAAAAAAATTTTTTTTTTGCATAATGTGTTGCTGTCATCTTTAACAAATAAGAAATATTGATTGATTGATTGAGACAAGGTCTCACACTGTCACCCAGGCTGGAGTGCAGTGGCACGATCTTGGCTCACTGGTGCCTTGACGTCTGACGCTCAAGCGATCCTCCCATCTCACAGCCTTCCCTGTAGCTGGGACTACAGGCATGTGCCATCACATCCAACTAATTTTTGTGTCTTTTTTGTAGATACAGAGTTTCGCAGTGTTGCCTAGGCTGGTTTCAAACTCCTGGACTCAAGTGATCCATCCACCTCAGCCTCTCAAAGTGCTAAGTTTACTTGGTGTGAGCCACCATGCCCGGCCTGTATGATTTAGTTGAGAAGAGGTATACCTAGGGTAGTCAAATTCACAGAGACAGAGAGTTGGATAGTGGTGGCTAGGGGCTGGGGACATAGAGGGCAGTGAGGAGTTAGTGTTCACTGGGTGCAGAATTTCAGTTTTGAAAGATGAAAAGTTATAGAGACAGAAGGAAGTAATTGTTACACAAAAATGTGAATGTACTTGATGTCATTGAACTGCACAGTTTAAAAAGTTTAAGATGGGCTAGGCGCAGCGGCTCCTGGCTATAATCCCAGCACTTTGGGAGGCTGAGACGGGCAGATCGCTTGAGGCCAGGAGTTCAAGACCAGTCTGGCCAACACGGTGAAACCCTGTCTCTTTAAAAATACAAAAATTAGCTGGGCGTGATGGCACATGCCTGCAGTCCCAGCTACTCGGGAGGCAGGAGAATCGCTCCAACCCAGGAGGCAGAGAGCCAGGATCACACCACTGCACTCCAGCCTGGGTGACAAAACGACACTCCATCTTGAAAAAATAAATAAAATAAAAAAAAATATATATATAATAAAATAATAAAAAGGCTGAGATGGTAAATGTTATGGGTGTTTTACTACAATTTTTAAAAAACACCAACTAAACTTCCTGAAAAGAAATTTTATAGTAATTTATATAGTAATACGTATGTTCTATTATATAGTAATACATATGTTCTATTATACTCTCAGTTCATTATTGTTTTTAAAAATTCCACAGGAAAAAAAATGACAAAATGACTTTTTTTGTTTTTCATTTTTTTAAGACAGGATCTTACTCTGTTGCCCATGCTGGAGTGTAGTGGCATAATCATAGCTCACTGCAGCCTCAAACTTCTGGGCTTAGGCAATCCTCTAGCTTTAATTTTAATTTATCCTTTAATTTTTTGTAGAGACCAAGGCTTACTATGTTGCCCAGGCTGTTCTTGAATTTCTGGTTTCAAGTGATCCTCCTGCCTCAGCCTCCCAAAGTGCTGGGATTATAGGCGTAAGCCACCACACCTGACCACAAATGGTATTTTTACATTGACTCTCTAAGAGAAGGCAAAGAACATACATAAGACCAACTACATAGAAAACAATGCCCAGGATATATTTGGCTTCAGGAAATAAACTGACAGACTGAAGAAATTAGCTTTATGTACCAAAAACAAGAATATCAAAAAGCATCTAATTACTATAGCGGTATCTTGGAGTAAAAAGCTGTCAAAGCTCTGTGTGTGTATAAACATGTATTTTACACAAGTACAGAGTATATAATTACATGTAGACACAATAAGTATATATAAGTAGAAATCTTTATAAGAGTCATCAATTAGGCCAGGCACGTTAGCTCATGCCTGTAATCTTAGCACTTTGGGAGACAGAGGCAGGTGGGTGGTTCAGCTGAGGTCAAGAGTTTGAGACCAGCCTGGTCAACATGATGAAACCCCATCTCTACCGAATATACAAAAATCAGTCAGGTGTGGTGGTGGGCACCTGTAGTCCCAGCTACTTGGGAGGCTGAGGCAGGAGAATCATTTGAACCCAGGAGGCCGAGGTTGCAGTGAGCTGAGATGGTGCCACTGCATTCCAGCCTGGGTGACAGAGCAAGACTCTGTCTTTAAAAAAAGAAGAAGAAGAAGAAAAAGCAGCCTGGGAAACATGGCAAGATCCTGTCTCCACAACAACAACAAAAATGTAGAGGCATGGTGGCACGTGCCTGTATTTCCAGCTACTTGGAAGGCTGAGGTGGGAGGATCACTCGAGCACAGGGGTCTGGTTGCAGTAAGCCATGTTTGTGCCACTGTAGTCCAGCCTGTGCAACAGAGACCCTGACTCAAAAGAAAAAAAAAGAGGTAAGAAAAAAATACTATATGCCATCGCTTTTAAACTTACATCTGCATATTAAATATAGCTTATGTTCTGTGAATTAATGGTACTTTAAATATAATCTAGAGTTGTGGAGACCAACTTTTTCATTCTACTTGTTACTCTTCCTAAAGTGACCAATGAGAAGTTACTTTTTTTTCAGTTTCCCTGCAATTACGAAAGCACGTTTAAGAAACTTGCCTCATCTGCAGCGTTTTAAAAGCTCTAAAAAGTCACCCAGGGAAATGAGGAGCTACCCTAGTCTTTTAGATAGTCTCCAAAGAGTCTAGTAAGTGGATTTATAAAACATAAAATTATCATGCAGTTTTGATTTTTTTAATCAAACAGTACTCATAGAGTGGACAAATGGCTTGAAAAGATTCCTGCAAAGAATCTACTAACTGAATATGATGAAAACACATGCTCAAGAGAATAATAAGATGGCAGAATGACACTTCTATTCCTAGAACATAATAAGGTAAAAGCAATGACTTGCTTATCAGATTGGTAAGAAGTCAAGTAAATATTTGCAGCGACCACAAAGACCTTTGAAATGCAGACATATTCATGATAATAACAATGACAATAGTAAGTGTACTGTCAGAGTGCTTTCTATGTCCCAGACACTGTTTTCAAGGCATAAACATTAACCTGAAATCCCCACAATAATCCCCACAGTGACCCTATGAGGCAAGGGTCTTCTATTATCCTATTTCACTACTGAGACAATAGACAGAGAGGGCCACAAAGCCACTACTAAGCTCAGGGTATATGCTCTTAAGCCACTATGCTCTATCGGTCTGGCTCGAAGTGTATATACTACACCCTAAGATACTAGCTAATCGTAACAATTCATATTTACATTATAAATATATTTTTAAAGTTACATGGAGAGTCTACGCTCAAATATTTTAACTGATAGTAGCATATTATTCAAAAAGTTTGAAGACTATCTTCCAGAGACACTCAGTTACTTACCCTGAGTCTTAGAGTAAGTTAATGATTGAGTCTGATATAGAACCTCTGCAGTCTCTAGACCCCCTAGTCCTGACCCCTTTCCACTCTGCCCCAGCTTCACTGTGGCTGTAACTGATGGATTCATCTCATGTGATAGCCAACCCTGAATTCAGTGCTGGACTGATCCTACAGCACTATTTTTGAATCATCCTTTATGTACCTTCCATAATTAAAGTGTTATAACTTCATTATCTTCACTTCCAAGTCCCCATATTTCTTCTACTAAGAAAACAAAAAGTTTATTAAGATATTTTCATGCACATTTTCTATACACTTGTCTTTTTTAGGTAAACCCAAATCAGATGTCCACAAAAGATAAGTCTGAGATGCAATTATTAATGTACCAATCAAAGGAGTCATTTGAATGGGACTTTTTTTACATTTTTAAATAGCATTGTATAAAAATCCATGCATTAATATTATAACAAGTTCTACTGTTGTTCCATAGGTGGCAGTATTGTACCACCTGGTATAGTATAATGATCATGCCACTACTAACCTGTAGGAAATAAAAGAAATTGTCATGCTCAGGGGTTTGAAAGGACCATCTCGAACCATCTATTCTAACCTCTTGTCTGTTTTTCTATAAATAAGGCCAGTAGTCAACTGAATCAGGGTTCATTTCCTAAATCAAATTCTCTATATTGAACTACTTCTGAACTTTGTTCGTCTACCAGTTTAGTAACTATAATAAAACAAACAGAAAATATTTCAAAAGCAATTGGAATTTCTGCAATTAGAATATTTGTGTGTGTGTGTGTGTGTGTGTGTGTGTGTGTGTGTGTGTGTGTGTGTCTGTGGTTTTTTTTTTGAGACAGATTCTCTCTCTGTCCCCAAGGCTGGTGTGCCCATGGCTCATGGCAGCCTTGAGCTCCCAGGCTTCAGCAGTCTTCCCACCTCAGCCTCCCAAGTAGCTGGGACCACAGGGGTGTACCACCACACCTGGCTCATTATTGTTCTTGCTGTTGTGGGGTTTTCTTTGGTAGAGGTGGGGTCTCCCTATGTTGCCCAGGCTAATCTTGAACTCCTGGACTCAAGCCATCTGCCTGCCTCAGTCTCCCAAAATAATGGGATTACAGGTGTAAGTCACTGCACCTGGCCAGACTCTTTTGTGATGCTAGCAGTTACTGATGATATTGCCTAGATCCATTATCTCAATAGTTATTGAAAATATTC